GGTAATGAACAGCATTAAAACAGAAACTACATTAAAGACTTGCACGAAATTCAGTCTTGGTGTCTTTGTACACCAGGACTGAACTCCACGCTGTGCTGTGCTACAGCTCAGGAGTAGTACACGTGAATGAAATTACCATGAAGTCTGACTGTAGATGAATCCTGTATCGTATCCAGCAGTCTGGGGGAAATGCTTACTGTGGTACTTTCTGACAATCACCAGGTACAGTAGTCACAGGAAGAACCCATCTTTCGCAAGGGCTGTTTGGGCAGGTTGAGTACTGTCTGTGCTAACACACTTCTGCTTCATCAGTAACAGCAACAACAAGGAAAGTACCACTGCAAAGGTAAGAAGCAACGTGGCACAGAATGATACTCAAACTATACTAAACATTAGGAAAAATACTTTGTTCTGCTCCAAAACGGCAATTTAAGTCTCCTACAAGCCTCCTATAGACAGCAACATAAGTCCTCCTCAAGTAAAATCAGGTAATTTCGTGATGTACAGCAGAATTCTGGTGAAAAACCATTATTTATTCGGGGCTCATCAGCCTAATGAGCAAGAAAACCTTTGCTTCCATCTACTGCTGCCTCTATTTTCTAGTATCAGCCAAACTACAAACTTGAAGACAGCAAGTGTGCTTCTTCAGCCTCTAGTCAGTAGGACAAGAGGCAATGGGCAGAAACAGATGCACAGAAGTTCCACCTGAATACGAGGAAGCATCACTTTACTGTGTGGGTGAACGAGCAGTGGAACAGACTGCCCAGAGAGGATGAGGAGTCTCCCTCACTGGAGATATTCAGGATCTATCTGGACACATTCCTGCTCTGTGTGCTCTGGGATGGCCCTGCTTGAGCAGGGAGGTTGGGCCAGAGGACCCACTGAGGTCCCTTCCAACCTGACCCATTCTGGGATTCTTTCAGTCCTTCTCCCAGTACCAAAAAACTGCTTTCCAGACATGACATAAAAAGCCAGAAACAACAGCCAGGATTCCTTTCTCCATGAATATCACAGCTACTAATGCCAACAGAAAACCTGAAAGGGAGCAAGAGATGAACCAATAACCACCACCACGTGGTATTTAATATCTTTTCCAATGTGGTTTGTCCTCACCGCTTTCTACATCAGATTCATACTGACAAGTCCTTTAGGAACCGAGAGAGAAAAGGCAGAGATGAACACTATCTTCCCATTCAAGGAAACACTCAAATATACTTACACCACCAGATGCCTCAAAACTCTTGTTACAGAGCTCTGCCATCAAGATCTAACACCACACCTGGACCACTTAGGACTTCAGGTTTACCTGTAACTGTGAAGTAATTTTACCAGCACAATTAGAGCTTCCAAGGGACCTTTTATATTTAAATATAAATGATCACACTGCTGTTTTAACCCTTTATTAATAACAGCACTACTCTTTAAATGACACTGCTTTTAGCAATTCTATTACACTATTCTATTAGTTTGACAGGCACATTTCCTCAAATGCTAAAACATAGCTCAATTGCATTTGCTACCTCTCACTGAGGCATCTGGCATTTCATTGCAACAGTACTCTCAAAAATGAAAACTCAAGTTTCATTTGCTTGATTCTAAATTTATTAAACCTATTAACACTTTCTGAGCATTATTTGCATGTCAGTCACATTCAGAAGCATCATTCAACAACTGAAGCACAAACACAATTAGCACAGACAGGCAATGGACCTCCTTTAAAATACAGTTTATGGATTTTTTTATTATTATTATTTTAAAGAACTCAAACACTTACATTTTGGCTTGCCTTTTTGGTTTTTTTTCTGTTTTTTTTTCTTTAAATTAACAATAGCTGCAAGAAGGTTTATCTTCAACAAGACAGCGACTTAAAGCAAATATAAGACACAAAAAAACCCCCAAAACAATAAACCCAGCCTCAGCTCTTCTGCACAAATCAGAGGCATCAAGAGAAAAGACATAGGTTTCATTATAGATAGCCCTACAAAAAGTAACAGAACTTAGAATTTGGAAAGCAGAGCAAAACTGTGCAACTAGTTTCTCTATGGGAACACCAGAATAAAAATGACTGATCAAAATCAAAGTTGAAGGAAAACTTGCACAGCTTTAAGAAGCTATTTAAAACAGTCTCAAGTCTTATTTTGGTTACCACATTTAGGATAAACTGGTTCACTAAATGGGACCCCCCGAAAATGTTTTTGAGTGTTTCTTTTCAGCTACTTGGTGCTGAGAATAAGCTCAGTGCAGAACTGGACACAGATTAACAGTGGCATGGGGAGGCTGTAAGACTGTGTCAAAGCTGACTCGGGTCAGTCCAGACTGTTGCAGAACTGCAGGCCCAGGATGTAGGTTTGAGAGAGCACACCTGGATCCAACACTGACCCAAACCCAGGCTCCAATCTCTCACCAACAGCTCAGCCTGTACATTCCCCTTTTCTCTTGTGCCGTCATGTGATTTTTGTGTGTCAATTTGGATAGTAATCCAAGCACAGTACAGACACAGAAGCAATCCAGTACCAGCACAAAGTCAGAGAGCAAATTACACTTCAGCAGTTCCTGCCCCGCTATGTTCTCCACTGGGTGCTCTCTCAGGGTGAGGCTGAGCATATCACCCCAAAGCCTGTGTGACTACCCCAAGCCACTGCAACAACTCCAGCGTTCAGCAGTCAGAGACAATATAAAAGCTTGCTGCTTCCAGGAGAGGGAGAACCTCCTTCCTCCCACTTGCCAATTCACACAAACATGTCCACCAATTCCAGCGCTCCGTGGACCTCTCCATAACCCAAATTAACCCTGTGTGTGCAGCTATGTGACTTACACATATTCAGGTTCACTTCAGGGCAGCCCCACCATGGCTGGATCAAACAGTTCAATGAAGACCCCAAACAAGTGTAATTCCAAAAGTAGTGCTACTGCCTCCCCATCTGCTTGTGCCCACTTCCACACCATCTTCCCCCTGCGCCAGCAAAACAAATGCAGAGCCAAGTGACCTGAATGATTTGGTCACTGAATCAGGAGAGTTACCAGACAAATCTGAACCTGGCTGGCTTGAACCATGAGTGGATGTTATGGGGCAGGGAGAACACACTCGGTCAGGGAAATGGTCAGGAGTACTTAAGCTGGGACTTCTTTGCATCTTCAAACCACAGCACTGGTTTGGCACAGGAATATCACACCTTACACTTACCATGCTGACTTGGGCAACTGTCTGTTGCCTTAAAGCATGTGCTGTTTGCAGTGAAGAGCACACTGGGAAATGTAGTCCTAGAATAGGATAGTGCTAACAGAGCAAGAAAAGCGTTCAGTAGCCCAAATCAGTCCTGTTACTGAGTATACAAGGATACATCATCCGACTCCTTAACTTTATACGCAATACATTAAGCAATTGCTTTACATTAGTCTGAATTTCCAGTTTGTGAGTTCCAGTGAGTATAGAGCAGAGATGCATGTGTCTATATGGCCCTAATAAGAAAAGAAGCCTGATAAAGAAACAATAACACCCAACTTTTCAATCAAGTAAGCCTTGATTTCCTCCCACATTTTAACTCGCAAGGAAAAAAGCAAAGAACTGAGAAGTTCAGTATTGGTGAAAATTGAAGCAGCTGCATCCATAGTTATAGTGGTCAGATTATGGAAACAAGGCATGGCTCCATGAGAACTTATCCTACAATACACATTTTATCCTCATTGATAAAAACCTGCCAGTATGTATTTATAGTTACACTATTAAACATTGATCAGACTGCCATCTCATATCACAGAATCAATTAGGTTGGGAAAGACCTCTGAGATCATCGAGTCCAATCTGTGACTGAACACCACCCTTTCAAGTAGACCATGGCATTAACTGCCACGTCCAGTCTTTCCTTAAACACCTCCAGGGACGGTGACTCCACCACCTCCCTGAGCAGCCCATTCCAACTTCTAATCACCCCTTCTGTGAAGCAATTCTTGATGTCCAACCTAAACCTGCACTGGCACAAGTTATGACTGCCGTCTTGTCCTGAGACATGTTGCCCTGCACTGAATTTAAGGCACCAGAAAACTCCACAAAGTTCTACACTTCAGGTTCTCCCACTGCCTGTGACACACCCTGACAAAACACCACGCACTCTCCCTCTCACTCACCGGTTTTCGCGTTTCCGAGAGTAACGTCTTAAAGATAACTTCACTTTAAAGTTTCAGATACAGATGTTGCATAAAGACGTGCCTTTTAACCCTTCCCTAATGGCACGTATCCTCCGATGAAAAATCACAAAAAACCAAAAAACAAAAAAAATCCAACAAAAAAAAAATAAAAACATACCAAAACCCCCCCCAAGGCAACTAGTCCGGCCATGCCATCAAACCGAGGCAAGATCGAGAGGGACACTAAAACCATCCACCCAGACGTGGAACTACTGCTGCAACTGGCCGAAACTCCCGGCCCAGAGCGCAGGGCCGGGCCGGCGGAAGGGGAGCGGGACCGGCTCCGGCCCGTGCGGCGCCGCCCCCGCGCCCGTTGCTGCCCCCTGGCGTTCTCCGCGCGCCGGCGCCGCCGCACGCCCCGGCCCCGCGCGGCCCCCACCGCCCCCGGCCCCGGGGCCCGGCCCCGCCCGCGGCCGCCCCTCCGGCCGTGGGTCCCCGCTGCGCCCGCCGCTGTCAGCGCCCCGACAGCCGCCCCCGGCCTGCCCGCGGCGGCCCCGCACGCTGCCGGACCCCTGCCGCGGTTCCTCACGGCCCCCCCTCCGTGCTCAGGGGCGCATCCCCCTCACGGCCCCGGCACCTCCCCCGCCCCACAGAGCACACACAGGCCCTCCGCAGAGACACAAACTCACCGCCCCACGCTGGGGGTCCCCCGCCGCCGGCGCTGCCCCCGCTGCCACGGGGGGAAAATGAATCATCAAAGGCAAGGGTGCGGGAGGGGGGGAAGGGGGAAGGGAGGAAGCTGAAGAGGGGAAAGTGAAGACCGAGCCAGGTAGGGGCGGACTGGGGAGGAAAACTAAGGAAGGGGGGAGAAAAAAAAAAAGCGGCGATAGTGATAAAAAATAATTCCGAGTGGGGGAGGAAAAAAAATGGCGGATTAAAATCCAAGATGGCGGCGCCGAGGGGCGAGCGGCGCAGGGGGGAGACGGCGGGGAGAGCCGCCTGGAGATCCCTCCGCCGCGCCCCGCGAGAAAGAGTCCCCCGGGCTCCCCCGCAGAGACCCCGCGGGGTGGCGGCGCGGACCGGCCGCCGCTTCCTCCTCCTTCTCCTCCTTCCCTGCGGGGAGCCCTCGTTCCGCCGCCCCGCCGAGCCAGGCGAGCGCCGCGCTGGCCGCTGCGCCCCGAAGTTTCTTCTTGTTCCTCCCGGCGGAGCCCGCGACCTCCTCGCCCCGTCCGGGGAGACGCCGAGTGCCCCTGCGCTCCCGGCGGCGGAGGGACACCGCGGACACCCGCCGCCGCGCACTCCCGCCGCCGCGGAAGGATACACCGCTGGCAAGGAAACACAGCCCGCCCCCAGCCGCGCCGCTCCCCGCCGCCGCCTCCTGCCGCCGCCGCTTCACCGCGGGCGGCGCGGGGGCAGCCGGGGTAGCCCATCCGGCCGCGGAGGGCGGCCGGCGGCGGCCGCGGGGCCCATGACCGCCCGGCGCGGCGGAGGGATCCCGCCGAGGGAGGGGAACGAGGCCCGGGCCGCCCCGCACGGCCGTGTGTGCGGGGAAGAAGTCCCGCTCCGGGATCCCTCCGCGCGGTGCTGCCCTTTAAACGCGGGGGACTCCCCGCCGCGGGGCGCGCACCGGCATGCAGCCGGGATGCGTCTCCTTGTGCTGCCTCGCGGTTCCCCTGCTGTGCCGGTCTCGGCGGTTTGTGCGGCGACAGCTCGCCCTGCCCCGCCTGAGAGGGGAGTGGGACCGCAAACCGAGCTCTTCCGGCACCTGCTCCCCCCCGCTGTCTGACAGAGCCATTTAAAAATGGCCCCCGCGGGCTGGAGGGGCTGGGACGGTACCTCCCTCCCTCCCTTCCCTTCCCTTCCCCTCCCCGCCCCGGGGCAGCGCCGAAGGCAGCGGCGGCGGGGCCGGCAGCGGGCGGTGGCCGCGGCCCTCACGGAGCGGTGGCTCCGGGAGCGCCCCCCAGTGGCGGGGCGCGGCCGCGCCCCCCCGCGCCCGAACAAAGGCGGCGGCGTCAGTGTCGCGCCCTGTCGCGATAGCGGGGCGGGACGGCTGCGATAGCCCCCAGGGGCAGGGACGGGCGCTTGTGGGGAAAAAAAAAGCTCGTCTGTGCAGTAGCTATTGAGCGGTACTACATTCGCTGGGCTTGGAAAGCTCGGAGGCCAACGTTTTCCTCCTGGAAGTTCAGGAATTCTGAGATGTGCGTGATGTTTCACGTTGCACATTCTGTATTGTACAATACGCTTGTGGCAGAACAAACTATTCTCAAATAGGAACTTTATAAGTTTCCTAGAGCTTTTGGATTGTTTGCACTCAGTCGAAGGCATCCAGAAACCCCTTTTTCTAAGGGAAATCTTTGCCGTGTAACATCTATCCTGTCAGCAGCTACTCACCCAGAATACCAAATCTTCAGCTTTATGCATAGTAGGATGCTAAAGATTTTCAATTGAACGTAATTTTGCATGTGACTTTGTTTAATTTTGCTTTAATAACACCAGCGAGATGATATTTGGAAATGCCATGTGTCTCAACAAGCCAAATTGCTAGACAAATTGATTTTACTCTAATTTGATAACAAGAAATTGCCTCTGAAGCTGAAATTTTGCCTACCCAGTTGCTAAACCAGGTTAACATACAGGTAAATTATAAATGTCTAAAAGATTTAATTCAAACCAGAATGGACTGTCAGCAGCATTGTGAGCAGTAGCATTGTGATATTACTAATAATATGTGTATATTGCTTTCTAGTGCACCAGGTTGCTCTGTAGGTTTATGGGAACAGCTAATCCAGTCCTCTTGGAAGGTTGGATGTTGCTAGATTGGAAGATGCTGACTTCAGTCTTTACGGCAACAAGAATTTTCCATAGCCTTGGCAATGGCTGGTGAATCCTTAGCGTGGTTGAAAACAGGACACAGAAAAGCTCCTGTTTACATCCTTTCCCTAGACTCCGGCAGGTGATCTGCTGACAAAGCCCTGGCTGCATCTGAAAGGCCAATTTTATTATTTTTTTTTTCCAGAATTAATTTATCTGAGACTTATTTCTTCTGTTCTTCTGGTAACAACTGCAAAAATTAAATGAAAAAATAATCACTATTTCCACTTCAATTACAGCTGGGTTTGTTATTTCTTCCACATTTTAGTGGTCTTGCATTTTAGGCCTTTGATTCAATAGAACAAAATACTGTCTTCAAAAATAAGGAAGTTGGGTGATCAAACCATGGTCAAATCATGATAGGATGCTTCAAGAATAAGTTTACTATGCTAAATATGCCTTTTGTTTTGGGGTTTTTTTTGTTTATTTGTTTGATTTGGTTTGGGTTGTTTTTGTTTTGGAAACCAAAAATGGCAACTGTCTCCCACTAAATGTAATTGGAGTAATTTATTATATTTTGTATAGTGTGTTCAGACTTCAATTTAGAAACTATTTAGGTTAATTTCAATATTGGCTTTACTTTTGAAGTTAATGTTACCACATCAGCCTAGACCCTCACCAGAACATGAAAAATCTCAGGTAATAAACCTTTGTTGTTTTCTACTTAGTTATCAAAGGATGGGAATTATGAAATGAGTTGTTAGAGATGTAAAAATTTCAGTCAGTCATAGGATACTCAATGTGTCTATGTTGCTTTTGTGACTTCTGGAGATTTTTTTTTTCTGGTACTATTAGACCAAAAGATTTTCAGCATGCACCAAGCCATAGATAAGTTTCAGTGTGCATTGGCAAGAATCAGTAGTTTTAAATTCCCAAAGTAGTCTTCCTAAATTGTTACAGTTCTAAAAAAAAATTGCTTTATGCAGATTTTGTAGATGTTCCCACTTTTTACATTTTCAGCATCCCATATATGCTATGACAACACAGCTCTAATATTGTAAACATTTTTGGTCATCCAGTTTTTACTAAAAATTTGTAGTTAATAAAATATTAATGTACTGAGTGGTTTTGTACAAGCTGTATCTTGTAAGAAGCAAAAGGTGACTTGAGCTGTGTGTAGAAGCTGCTGCACTGTGATTTCTGGAGCTTTGTGTGAGCCCAGACCTCTGCCCATGGCTACAGGGTCAGAATCCAACCCTGAGCCTCCCTCTTCCAAACCACCCCTGCAACAAAACCTTTCTATTGAAATGAAGCCAAATCCAGCTTAAGCTGAAAAAGATACAGCTCTAGCCGAGCAAATGGTGTTCTGTGCCCACTCTGACTTTATTTGCAAATCTGATTTACAGGTTGTGGCAGTGGGTCATGTGGAGAGCTGCAAACATACAACTACAATTGAAAAGTCCATCACCTGCTTGACAGTTCTACTCTACCATGCAGGTGTTGGGGTTTTATTTCTGACTTTTATTCTGCGGTGCTTTTACAGAGCCCCAGCATCAGCAGCTGTGGCACAGACATCTGGGAGTGTTCCTGTGCCAGTGGCAAAGCCGAGTTGTCGTGCATGTTCTGGCTCTTTAGCATGCCTGCCAGGCTCTAAGGCACCCTCATGCCACAGAAGTTTTAAAGCACATCATGACTTGTGCTATGTCTTACATAAAACTTGTGTTGGAATTCTAAACTGGAAATACTGTGCCCAAATCCTTACCATCAGATCTGACAGTCTTAGGAGCCCAGCAGTATCAGTGAGTGGAGGTGAAGTATGAGGAAGCAGAGAGTCTTACATGGAAGGATACAGAGGAAATCATCAGGTCTAATGACCCTGATCTTTCATTTATGCTGGTGGTTTATATTCTGTGCAGGGCAAGGAGTTGCTCTGTAGCTGTCACTTTCACTACTGGGAAGAAATGATGTGCAAAGAGGTAACAGGTTTCACATTGCAAACAGCAACACTCCTCTGTTGGTATGGTCACTCTGAGAATTTGTTTCCTTTGTGTGCTGGGTGAGTAAGCACCTTCCTGTGGTACCTGTGAGAGGATCGGTCCCTTCCCTCTGTGCAGGAGCAGGATATTAAGCACCAGCCACTGTGCCTTGCCTGAGGTGCTGGCAAGTGGACCCAAGCCATCAAGGTGTGACCACCTCTGGATGATATCACAAGTTGGTTTTGACTGACAGTCACAAACCCAAAGCTGGATATCATAAGTGACTATGCTTAGGAAGAAAATAAAATATGTTTCCCGCCAAAGGCTTATTAATTTATCAAAAATGTGTGTATTCTTAGTAGCAGATGGTCAATAATAGATGATAGATGGCCTCCTCTGTGTAAATGAATGGCAGTAATTCACTTGAGGGGATCTGCTGATGTCATAAGCTGCCAGAGTGCAGCTTGAGTGATTTATTAACAGCTGCAGAAATCCTAGGCTGAATTACATCCTTGTATTCACTCAGGGTCTGCAGATTTTTATTTATAAAATGTGTAGGTTTGAATTTCTTGATGATTATAGGGATCTCTTCTATGACTCTAATACAGGGGCACAGTGAAGAAATGCTGACTATAAAGGCTCAGATACCTGCCTATGATTAAAGGCAGATTTTCTTCACTGCTGCATATCAACATCATCACATTTCTTTATTTTTGAAATCAGCTAATCAATATCTGTAGAGGTTTACATAAGTCCTGTTTTGTTTTTTTTGCCCCCTACCATAAAATACAAATGATGTCATTATCTTCAGGTACAGGAACCTCTGTCACTCAGTGTTATAGTCACAGCCTCTGCGCACCTTGGGCTGTGTCCAGCACAAAAAGCTGGGAGAGAGTTGAGAGCAAAATGGAGTTTAGCTGTAAGTGGTTATTATCTCTAGTAATTACTGGATTTTGCTGTTTAGAAAGAAGGCAAGAGACATAGAAGGCTAGAAAAGGTGCCTGGAAACAAAAAGTATTTGTGTACAGGGAGGAGACTCTCCCTGTTCAGGGAGAAAGCCTTCCTTTCGTCCATAAAATTCTTGAGTGGTGAAAATAAAAATGTTCTGAATATGTATCCTAGATTTGTCACACCCTTCTAACATATGAAAGCAACTGAAACAATATTAATTTCAATTCCTCCTTCTGCCTCCCCAAAAAATTGGAGCTGATTAGGATGATATTAAATCCTGTTTCTCAAACAAGGGAGGCATTTCCAAAATGTAATTCGAGTTGTAGAGGAAGAGGAAAAGGGAGATGAGAATAAATTATGAAGAATTGCATGGCAGGAAGGAACAGTCAGAATTCATTTGCAAATAACTATGCACATTATGTTTGCTAAAGATGCAGAATTTCTTGAGAGTACTCACAGTAAATGTTTGGATAACAGTTAGAACCCAGTGAAAACCCTTCTAGTTTTCTCTCTTTTCTCTCTTCTCTGAGATTAGCTTTGTTTGTTGATAGTTTAGATTTCACCAGTCCTTGGAATGGTGCTGCAGGTATTGTCCTCAGCAAGGAATTCTGATTTGCTGTTGAGCAAATACTGCTTTGCTCCTCCTTTCCTTCACCAGTGTCTGTCTGTCTGACCTGTCTCTTGTGTAAGAGGTATGAATAGAAGGATGGTGGTATTTGTACAGAAAACAAAGGTTAGATCTTGAAGAAAAACAGGCTCCAGGTATTGTTCACAGCCTTGAGGCAAAGCTCTTTCAATTCATGATGAGTTTACTAATTTCAGCAAGCCTGTTATTGCTCTTAGAGTGTCATGGACAAAATCCAATCACATCAGGGACCCACAATGTTAGATATTATAGAAATGCACAGAAAGGTATCAAAAAGGTATTTTAAATAAAGATGTGTGGTTTTTTGTTTTGCTTTGTTTTTCCTGGAACTAAATGCTCACTTCTGGATGCTTTTAAAATTGCTTATGGTTTTGTAGTAGCATATCTCTGGAAACTTGACTC